TGTAAGATATAATGCTGTTATAATGCTTGAAAATGACTGAATAAATAACCTATCGATTTGTATTACAAATATATGTTTAAGAAAAATATAAATGTATGACACTTTCTCGAATGTCGTTGCCATTTCTATTTTCGTTGTTCCACATCTCATTTCCTTCGTCTATGTCTATGTCATCATAATATACGTCAAGTTCAGGTACATTATAGAATTTGGTCACGTTGTGAAGTACGTAACAAGCATTAACTATAAGTGCTAAAATTATATTTGTTCTTAAATTTTTTAATATATGGATTTTTATATTATCAGACATACATATTCTTGAATATTTACGAAATGTAGTGATTATGTAATTTTTACCAGAAAAATTTGGTGAATAGTGCAGTCCTCTTTCCTTCCTCAGGCATCGTCCCTTCAAAACTCCGATAGTTCGTTCAATACTCGAGCGTGCTCTTACGTGAGCATCAGTATAACGAGCAGAAGGTGATCCTTCAGGTTGATCTAATTTTGGTGTCATTAAATAAGGTAGCAGCGGGTACCCTGAATCTCCTGAAAAGTTATACAATAAACTTTTTAAATGTATATAAATATATTAGGTCGTCCAAAAAGTTCCTTAAAATTATACGCATTATACGTACTACCGAATTTTCTTCTCTTTGTGGTTCTTCTTGATCCTCAAAAATAATCCATGCAGCAGCAGCCATTATAACCGACTAAAATTAATATACGTGAAACTTTTCATTTTTGTGAAAATTTTCACTTTTTCACAAGTTCACACTAGGGAAAAAGTTTCATGATCGACCCCCTGGTTCCAACTATGCGTCGACCAATCAGTGAAAACCTCGATAAAAGCTTAAGGCTATACTTAAGTGACCAATAAGAAATGAGAGTTTGTCTCAAAATCATATTCTGCGTGTATAATCAAATTTTAAGAATAATAATAGATAATTACCTTGCAATTATTTGACGCAAAGTATCGCGTATCGCATTAACGCGTATAATAACGGGTTATCGCGAGATCCGAATTTTATCCGTCGTTATCGCAACGTAAATCGGTTTTTCGCATTACGGTGTCGCTAAGGGAATAGAATGTAACATTCCTACGGCGAGTAGTTGCGCTTTCGCCA